TGCCGTGGAAAGGGTACGCGAGCAAATAATCCAGCAGTCGCAACAAAACTTGAACGCGAGCACAAAAGGTCGATGGACGAACATCCTAGGGCTGCCAGACGTCCCGGTTTTCCCGGACATGTCCCGGTTTTAGACTATTTGTCCCGGTGTCCCGGTCCAACCTTAAAATGTCCCAGGAATTCGTTTAAGTGTCCCGGTTTTTGATTTGATTGCATAAATTTTGCATAAAAATGACTACACTGAGAGATAAAACGCGTTGTAATATTAAGAAAAATTTTATGAATTTACTGGGAGAAATAACGCATAGTAAACATGAATATGTTTTATTTGATTATCGTTTTAAAATGTTCGTATTTAAAAACAATACTTTTATACCACGCACACGTGGTGTTGAATCAAACTGAACATTTGAATGCACATTTACATGTCTGGCTGTAGCTGAGTGCAGGAAGATGCTTGCCACAATTTGCTAATTTCCAGAGCATCAGGGTTCAAATCCTTTTACAGGCAGCATGGAATTTAAATATTTTTTTTATAACTTAATTATGAAAAAGCATCCGTTAAGTGCAAAGCGCTTCATTTTAATATTGGCGTATTTCAATTGAATAATTCTATACCAAATACTAAAATGTATTACGAGTTGGGTTGGTGCTCTTTCATATACGGATTTTTTTTTTTAAATTTAGCACTTTTGCACAAGCAATAGCTGATGATTAATATATGTAAGCATGTACCTAAATACGTTAAAATGACATGCATAGAGTTTTACAATTATATTAAGCAAAAGCCAGAAGTTTTGAAACAAGTTCACAGCAACGAAACAAATGACTGATATTATAAAGTCTGAATAGAAAGTTACGAATTTGTATGCAAATTTATTGCATTTTCCCGAGTTTTGCACAAAATTTGAAATTTTATTTTTATGTTTTCTGATGTATTTAGTATAAACTGTATTTTTATAAGTAAGAAAAAAGGTACATGCATTGTGAAAAATTCTCTGTGCTCATGATCCCATGTTTTTATGTTTTTGTTTTTGTTTGTCAAAATACAATTTTACTACCTCCTTTCGTACATAATTTTTGTCGAAACGAAAGGGAAGGGAACGAGAGGCCTCTTCCCCCTTAAGTGTCCCGGTTTGGCAACGGAGATATCTGGCAGCCCTAGCACATCCTGATAGACGACATTCACACATGGTTGAAAATACCGCACGGGGAAGTCGCAATTCCTCGTCGATCACGGTTACTTCCGAGAATATATTCATAGGATGGGCAGGGCAGACTCACAGTTCAGTCATTACTGCGAAAACGTCGAATGTAACGTGCTCGATACATTCTTCATGTGTGAACACTTGTGTGATCGGTGGGAGTTTGGGATTTACTAGGTAGTCCGACACGCTTCGGTGGGAGGCCCATACTCGGGGAAGGTAGTATAGAGACTATCCCCCGCCCGGCCAGTGCATAAAGCATTTCCCCCTCCTACGAACAACAAAAAAAAATAAATGAAAATGAAAATAAAAACAAAAATAATAATAACAGATTGGCGCTTACACATTTGATAGTGTTTGGGCGAGCTTTTCCTACGAATTGTGGCGTGCGCCTCGATGTTGCCACACAATGCGGAGGCACCTACAGTTTTAAAACGACTCCACGGCGATTACCTTTGCCATTGGCTGCGTTCAGCAGACTTAGCGGTTGTAAAACAGGCGAGTAAAATTCTGCTGAACGGAGCGTTTCCGCATCGCTCCGTCAACACGTTTACTGAGCAGTAGCCATATTTTGTAGCACAAAATTTATATGCTGCCTTCGCTCACTAACCAGCTGTTTTCTTCTTTATCTGTCATTTAAATTTAATTGCCATTTATAATAAAAAATATTCATAGTGAAGAAAATGGAAATAAACAAACAAAATCTTTTTTAATTCAATTTATTGCGCATATTGCGGATGGAATTGGTATTATTGGTGCATGTTGACGAATCTAATAATGAAGATGATAAGCGAAACATTTCGACATCGAGTTAATTTTTGTTTCTATGTATACGTTTTCGAGATATTTGCAATCTACCTTTATTCTGCTTAAAGCAAAAATTGGTTCCTTTGAATCACGTACATCTTACGAACCAATTTCAAAATCTAGAAATAAAATACGGCGCAGGAAAGCTAATGGAATTCTCCATAAACCGTATATACATCACTTTCCGATAGGGCTTATAGTTTCTGACAGATTAATTGCAGCTTTTTATTTTCTAATAAAAAAATGAAAAATAAATCAAACTTTAACAGAAGAAAAATTAAAAAAATAACATGTTCTGTGCCAAATTTTTGCACTTGTACTAAAGCCTGTTCTGTTACAATAAATATCAAGTTACTGATGAAGAAAACCGAAGGATAAATACGAAATAATGAGCGGTCAAATAAAAATGCGCAAGATTATTTCTATGAAAAATGAGCACGAAAGAATGTTACTCATACGCCGCGTACACCTAAGTAACACGCTTTACTGCTCATATTTCGTACAAAAAATCTTTGCGCATTTTCATTTGACCACCCATTATTTCGTATTTATCCATCGATTTTCTTTATCAGTAGCTTGATTTTTTTTTGTAACAGAACAGGCAAAAATTTGGCACAGAACCTGTATGGAATGATTAATTAATTTGTCAGAAACTATAAGCCCTATCGGAAAGTGATGTATATACGGTTTATGGAGAATTTCATTGCCTTTCATTTGCCGTTTTTTATATTAAGATTTTTAAATTGGTTCACAAGATATACGTGATTAAAAGGAACCAATTTTTACTTTAAGCTGATAAACGGTGAATTGCAAATATCTCGAAAACGTATCCATAGAAAAAAAAATTAAGTCGGTTTTCGGAATCACTGAGCCATTCTACATAGGAATTGGATAGTGGCGTCTGAAGAACAAAAACCAAATTAAAGTATGTGATCCAGTGTTATCAGAGCTTTTATCTTGATAAATATTGTTAGCAATTTGGTACTTTGACAGCTACATTTTCATTTACGCGTTAGCTTCGTTGAGACAATATTATTGATATTTAAATATAAAAGCAAAAATTGAGCTGTTTTCTTTTAAAATATTTGTTATTATTTGCTTGGCTGTGAAATAGCACATTTTCTTAATTTTTTAAGTGATGAAATAGGGCAAAAATAACCATCTTACAAATTCTTTTATTATTCGTGTGTACTTACCGCATGAAGGGAAAATCTCCATATTGTTTTTTTTCTTATAATTTTTTGCTATTTAATTTTCGTGTCGTATGTATTTCTTATTGAAAATAATTTGAAGGACCCGAAGTTTGCTCTGGTATAGGAAACCTACAAACCGACTTATTTATATTTAAAACAAATCACAACGTTCAGCAGAACCAAGCGATTTATGTTTTTCGCTTACAAAACAGTTGAGTCTGCTGAACGTAGCCATTGCCTACCGAGGAGCGACCGCCATTAGAAATAAATTTTTTTGCTTTTATATATTGATGTTGGGTTGAATCGGGCTTGAACCCAGATCCTGCAGAAGCCCCCCTTGCCGGAATGAAGCCTACCGACTACATTATATGGGATTCGTCATAAAGTCATCACAGAAGCTAAGCCATGACTGTGCCAATTCTTCAAAAGCAGGGGCCGAAAATAACCGGCCCACTTATTGCTGTACACAAATTGTCATTTATTTCTTGTTATAAAAAATAAATCACTCATAATAACTTTCATAACAAGTCATCTGCATTGATTAGACTTTTATTTGATTTTATGAAGGAAGAAGATGGGCCGAAAATCAAGCGTTGAATTCCGCAGCTTTTTTGACTTGGATACGATACGAGTAGTGATAAAAAAGTAAGTGCGCCTGAGCCACACTGGAGAAGTGAAACTTACGTTACATATCTATTTATCTCATAACCAATACATATGTACATTAGACTGTATCACCAAAGAAAGTTGCGGTTTTCCGGTAGGATTAAAAAAGTCCAGTATATTTTAAGACTTCTACCAAAATATTTCGGAATCATATTAAGATTTACGTGAGCTGAACCGGGTTGAAAATACATCTAAAAATGGAGTTTTTTTATGAATAAAAATAGTTTCTTAAAGGATTTTTTTTGAAAAAATGTTCTCACATGACAAAACAGTTTGAGCTTCAAAAATCTGCATAAAAATATTAATAATTTTTATCAGTGGAATCATAATAATGAGATTTTTGATGCTATTTTTTAACTTTTTTCAAAGACTTGTGTAAGAAAAACTTGAATAACTGCTCTAAGACTTTACCGATATAGACTTATGAGGCATCAGTGGAATGGCATTTTCTTACCCTTTTAATTTCTTTGCAAAAAAACGTATTCACGTCCCAATTTCTTCTTTATCAAATTCCAAAACTTGGAATGACACTCGTTTATCTTACCTTCCTCATTTCATACTTTGAACGAGTTATGATTCCATAAAAAAATTTTTTTATTCTTTTTTGGAAATTTTTTAAGCATAAACTGTTTAGTCATGTGAGTTAATTAAAAAAATGTATGTATTTAAAAAAAAACTGGTTTTATTAATAAAAAAATCTATTTTTGGACGTATTTTCAAATCGGTCCAGCTCACGTAAATCTTAATATTTTTCCGAGATATTTTGGTCGAAGTCTTAAAATATAATTGACCAAAATGTTAATCGTCCTACCATCCTACCAACGAGAAAAAACCTTACCGATTTTGGTAGGAAAACCCCAAACCCCGGAAGCGAGCGAAATAGCTTGTGGCTGTGGTACTTCATTCTGTTTAAGCAGTTAGTGCTAACCTTGATAATACTTATCGTCACTCTAACTCTCGAAGCGACTCTAAGCGAAATAGCACGCTAACACGACTACGATACACTTAATCTGTAATCTATAGATAGTCATGCGCTAACTCAGTCAGAGCCTACTTTTTCTTGACTATAATTATGCGCCAATAATTCTATCTAGTTTATCTATAAAATTGTTCCACGTTTTTATTTTCAGAAGTCGACCCGAAAGAACGTCTTATAGCAGCTGTTAAGAAGGAAGTTAAGCAGTTGATGGAAGAAGCTGTTACAAAAAAATATATACACGAAGATAGCAGCTCGGTTACACAATTATGTGCTGCCGTTGAAGCTTGCTTGAGTCAGGGCTTGCGGCGTCGAGCTTTGGGATTATTCAAAACATCATCGACAACTGCATTGCTTCATAAAATTGCCAAATCTAGTGAAGATGCTGAGCATATAAGTAAGAAAGTTTTGGAAATTGAAGCAGCCGATCCGAGTAAACGTTCATCATCCAGCGGCGATAGTGTCAATCGGCCACCGATGTTAAAGAAGGGCAGTAGTACATCGGTGACAACGATGAGTTTGAGTGGTACAAATATTGCAATGGCTTCAATGAAGTGAGTGTGAAATACATATGTATAAGTTTTTTATATCTACATACTTTATTTTTGAACTTTCGAGTATCTTCGGAGTATTTGTATGCAATCGAAATCTTGCTCTTTTCCAAAGCTGCATGTGCAAAAATTTTATATGAGAAAATATGCATATGCACATCTCAAGTAGCACATAATAAACGCTCCTAAAGTAATAAGTTGATGACAGCCCTAATCATGTTCAAATTGCTTGATGTATGCGCACTAGGGTAGTCCAAAAACAGTAAAGTCGGAATTGTAATGCTCTCACCCCCTAGGATTGTTCTATATCGAAAAAGGTGTACCCCTATTTTTTTATTTTAAAATCAAAAATATTTAGAGGTCGCTAAAAGCACTCAAAGTTTTCCAAGTATTTTTATATGGGAAAAATAAACTTTTTCCTAGAAATGATATAGAATTCTTGAAAATCAAAATTTTTCGATCGGATCGAGAACTCTGGTTCTCTTCAGGATACTTTCAATAATAATACCCAACTGTTAATTTAACCATTTTTAATGATTTTTTATTGGTCGCCCCATTGCATTTTTCGGGATTTTTGTGGGTTTTTGGTGGACCTATAAATTATAGTTGCGATGCAAAAATGGTTTAATAAAAAAAATGGGTATTATTATTGGGGATTTCCTGCAGATAAACAGGGTTTTATGGTAGAGAAAATATTGATTTTTAACTATTCTATACCATTTAAATGAAAAGTTGTTTTTACCCCATATAAAATACATGGAAAACTTTGAGCGCTTTGAGCGACCTCTAAATATTTTGTGATTTCAAAATAAAAAAAGAAAGGTATACTTTTTTCGGTATAGAATAATCGTAGGGGGATGAGAGGGTCGGTAAAAATACCGACTGTATTTTTGAACCCCCCTAATGCGCACCCTCCAAAACTTTTCTAGAGTTTTCTCATCTGGTGTTACCGTTGGTCACAGCACCAACCCAAATATTTTGGATTTAATAAATTTTGTGTAACTACATAAATTCCTGCTGCTGCTCCCCTGTCACTGTTAATCATGGACATATGTAGATACTTCCTTACTTCTTCTTTGCTTTTATAAAAAAAGTTTATACTGTGACTACTATATATATTAAACTTTTTTCATAATTTCTTATTTAGATATTTATGGATCCGACTGGCATTGTACGAGAAGAAGTTGGCTAAAATTATTGAATATTTAGTTGCAAATGCTAATACATATTACGATCGTGACTCCCTTGTGGCAGATTCCGACTATGGTTCCATACTGAGCTCACTTTTAGTTGGACCTTGTGCATTGGAATTTACGCGAATTAAAACTGCCGATCACTACTGGACTGATCCGCATGCTGACGAATTGGTAAGTAATCATAAAGTAATGAACAAAAAGACATTAAACGATTTCGCTTTTTGTTCAGGTTAAGCGCCATCGCATTAGTTCAGGTCGTCGTTCTTCCTCTACTTGCTCAAGGCCACCGATATTAAATTTCAAGCGCAGCCTAAACACCAGTACAGATGAAGGCACAACCGGTGCCGGCTTCAAGTCAATAGCTGCAGCAACGGTGGCAAAGGACTACGTAGAGTCGCTGCATCAAAATTCCAGAGCTACGCTGTTGTATGGAAAGAATAATGTATATGTAGTACCGGTAAAGACAAGCTATTTGTTCGCAATTTAAGCGCAATCGTTTGATTTGTTTCAATAATCTTTGACATCCACAGAAAGACGTGAATGAAAAAATGCCTGGTTATTTGAGCCTTCATCAGCATGTGCAGATGCTCATCATTAAATGGACGCCAAATCAACTAATGAACGGCTACAATGAGGAGGATGAGGAGGAGGACCAGGAGACGGACAAAGAATCATACTGGGCTTATGCACTCAATATCAATGTAGATGAGATCGTATACGTGCACTGTCACCAGAATCGTGGCGAGGATAGTGGCGGCATTATAGTACTTGTGGGACAGGATGGTGTGCAACGTCCGCCAATACATTTCCCCGAAGGTGGACACATGCAACAGTTCCTCAGTTGTTTGGAGACTGGTTTGCTGCCCCACGGGCAATTAGATCCACCGCTTTGGTCGCAGCGCGGCATTGGCAAGATTTTCCCATGGCCGAAGAGTGTACGCAGGCGTATTTTACCTTCGGTAATGGAATCATTTGATGAAACGCCCATCGATTATGTCTTTCGTATTGTGAGCAAGAGTAAACATGAAGAATTCGGTAGGTAAAATGGGGAGTTTCCATGAAAACTAACTGAGTTTGTATTTTCTTATCAGCTGCTGCGCATTCGATTTTGGACTTTGTGCGCAGCGCTCCTCGTCGTGCTCAGCTCAGCAGCTGTTCGACAACTGGGTCGAGTGATTGCTCTAGCAAAAGTCTCTCTATGGATCAGCATCCTTTAGAGTCTCCATTGGTAAGTGTGGATTATTTTTTCTTATTAAAGAAATGGACCTATAAGCATTTCCAGGGAAATATGATTAGTATCTATTATTAAAAACAAGCTCCACTAGTCTTTTTTCGTCACCTTTTAAGAAATACTGGTAGAGAATTTATACTCTAGAAATTTTTTTTTGACAAAAAGTGGCGAAAAAACGAAAGATTTCGGTATGATCGGTGAGGTAAATCATTTATCCGAAGAAAGAAGAATGCTTTGACGGATGAAGAAGCCTTTCAGGGGGGAGATTCTGTTACCAGTTAGCGACAAGTTTCGGATCGATATCGCATTTGTTGACGTAAATATATTTCATATCATACGCCAACAAAGCCGATACCGATTCGAAAATTGTCGCTAACTGGTTACAGAATCTGCCCAAAGGCCTACAAAAATGTTATCGTCCGATTCAGCTGGAACAAAAATGCTTCAAACAAGTAAGAGTTTCTCTGCATTATGGCCTCGGATATATACATACATATGTCATTTGAATCAGTATAAAAAGCTCTATTAGCTCCTACATTCGGGTGTTTGATAGGCGAGTCTCCCCTGACACGTTTTTCCATATTTTTGGCCTTTGTGCGCTTTTATTCGAAACCTAAATGTTTCGGTACGGAGTATCGAGAGTATTGAATATTTTTCAAATCGGTACCGAATATCGCCCAATACTTAAAAGTTTTATTTCAGCACATCACTAAGTGTCAATACTAAAGCACACATTTAGGAGGCCTTTCATGGGCATGTTTGGCATTTGCATTAGTGTAAATTTTGAATTTATTTTTTCGCTTTTTTTCTAACTAATTTGAAATTTCAGTAATTCTTTGCACTTCAGCTTTACAATACCTTCCTTATGAAATATAGATTTTTATACTTGGGGTTATAGTTTAGCTGTTAAAGGGGTATAAAGTAAACTTGTTTGGCTATTTGTATATGAGATTTCTATTCGAATTTTTGGACATATGGCAACTTCAGCACTTTATAACATTCGCATTTCATTCATATTGTAATATTTTACTTAACTTATACATACATTTACTAAAAGAAATTTCTTTTAAAATAAGTGGAAACCCTGATCAGAAATATTTTCATTCTAACTTTTACTCGTAGGACACTCCAATTACCTACTGCTTTCCGTTATTTACACACATAAATATTTTGAATTAGATCGTAGTATTCAAAAGTATTCTGGCGCTCCGCTTTTCTAAACACTTTAAAATATTGTTAGTCCAGCTTTAATTATTATATTTAAATATTGTTAGTTAAACTTTAAATGTGGGTGCAGTTTGAGATTTTGTTGCCGGGAAATCCATATGTCAGCGCAAATGCACAAGATCCAAGCTCAGGTTATTTGGCTTTGGATGCTTTTGCATCAAATTTGAAATGGGCGGGCGAAATTAAACTTCGAAAGCTGCGAGCTATCATCCAATATATCCTACTTTTGATAAGAGGTATACCACAGCCTCCATTAAGTTCTTCAATGTATAAGCAGATTAGTTATGTATGATAGGAAACAGGACCAAAACAACTTGGAAAAAGTTTCCGAAAATTCCTCTCATAACTAAATGGTTCACCCTGGAACTGTTTTCTTCTTGCTGGGAATTGTAACTGTGTATGCAATTCTACAACATGCAATGGGGTATAGTCGTTGCGGTGGGTATGCAGTTACAGTTGCATGGCTCGATCCCGACTCTTGCGTCCTCGTTCGCGCACTCTGGTCAACGTGAGCAACCCATGTGCAAGAAGCGGTAACCAATACGAGTGGAGCCTTGGGTCACGGCAGAAAGAGAGACAGCTTCGGTGGGGCCAGTCCGACTTATTCGGTTTAAGGGCTCCCTGAAGTCTGCAGCGTCTGTTTACCAGTAGGTGCGGCTGCAGGCGGGTGTCTGCTTGGAGCAAACGGCTCGCTATATAAATGTGTATTTGGTTGCGAAACCACCCCCCTCCCAGAAATGGGTTGTGCGCTGGGTTTGAGATACGCCACGTAAAAGCCACTTCCAGTAAAAAAGCAAGGTAAAGCCTCGGATGAGACCCTACTTATGATAACGACCACGGCAAACGTTTAAAGGATTACGATTTGAGGGCATGCACCTGGAATGTCCGGACCCTTAATGGGGAAGGTGCCTAGGCCCGGCTGGCTGATGTCGTCGTAAGGACAAAAACTGTCATCACCGCCATCCAAGAAATGCGTTGGACGGGGCAAGGCAAGCAATATCTGGGACCTTGCGACGTCTATTACAGCTGCCATGTAAAGGAGCGCAAATTCGGAGTCGGATTTGTGGTGGGAAAGAGACTCCGAGTATTGTTGTTCACCCCGGTGGACAAGTGTCTGGCTACAATCCGCATCAAAGCGAGATTCTTCAACATCTCGCTCATCTTCTGATGAGAATTGAAATCCAACGCAGAATCACTCTTGCCAACAAGTGCTACTTTGGACTGAGTAGGCAATTCAGGAGTAAAGTCCTCTCTCGACATACGAAAACCACACTCAGTCACTCGTCATGCTCATGCTGGTATATGGCGCAGAAGCATGGACAATAACAACATCCGATGAGGCGGCTCTTGGAGTATTTGAGAGAAAGATTTTGCGGAAGATTTACGGGCCTTTACGCGTTGCCGACGGCGGGTACCGCAGACGATGGAACGATGAGCTGTATGAGCTTTACAACGACATGGACATAGTGCAGCGAAATAAAATACAGCGGCTCCGCTGGCTTGGCCATATCGTTCGAATGTACACCGACGCACCAGCTCTGAAAGTATTCAACACGGAATCCGGTGGTGGTAGCAGAGGAAGAGGGAGGCCCCCACTGCGATGGAAAGATCAGGTGGAGAAAGACTTGGCTTCCCTTGGCGAGCCACGCGAGTAAATGTGCTTTCATATGTTGGGTTTGAATCAGCACCACATTTCGCTGTGTCTATGCCGTCTGTTCATAAGATTTGCTCTCTCTATCTGAGAGGCATATAAAATAAATTGGCCACTGGCGAAGTTTTTTATTCTCGGCACAAACCGACAAGGCGGTTGTAGTGCCAATTAAGAAGAAGAATAAGTTCGTTGACGGTAGACTTTGGCCTTTCACAAAATACTTTATATGCAATCTTAAAGAGGCTGGTCCCAATTTTATTGGAATCGTTAATTTGTATCAACTCTGTTTTTTTTACAAACGGTTCAACAATTGTTGAAAATTCTATAGTACACGAATATATTTATCTAAATAGCTGATTACATTATATATGTACATACTTAGCTTATAAAAAAACTTTAAAATTATATAACATCCCAAAAATCCTTTTTTGCAAGGTTCAGACAAAGCAGAGTACAAGTATTGAAATGGTTTGCTCAACTATGAGGAGGCAAATAATATCAAGAGCTTTTTACGGATGGTTAGCATACTGCAGACATTTGTCGACAGTACGTACACATCTTTCAGGACTTGTAAATGGGCGCATAACGCCGGAACGTAAGTAAAAAAACCCACATTGATCCATTTGCATGTTGTCAGCACTGTCATTCTCATCTGTAGTGAAAGCCGACGAGGAAGGACTGACAAAAGAGCGCTGGGAAGCATTGAACGCGAATGGAGTGGTTTCAGATGAGATGGATGTCTATCGATTGGTATATTTTGGTGGAGTTTGTCCAGAGTTACGGAAGGTGGTGTGGCCATACTTACTTGGACATTACAGGTAAATTTTTGCTTGTAATACATAACTAAAAAATTTTACGAAACCTATTCGCCATCAGTTTTGGTTCAACGCCTGAGGATCGAGAGAAGCAGGATGAGAGCTGCAAACATTATTATGAGACGACAATGAGCGAATGGCTAGCAGTAGATGCAATTGTACAGCAACGAGAAAAGGAAAAAACATCTCGCGCGATAGCTAAACTAAGCTCGGGCAGTAATAGTGGCAATGAAAAGACCGTGCGGGCTGCCGATGTCGAAACCGGTGAATTGGAAAACGAGGTGTTCGAAGATATATCCGATATTTCTGATCCTGGTGATTTAGAGTTCGAAGACGAGCAACAGCGCCAGGCGCAAGCCGCAAAAGCGGAAGGCAACACGCAAAATTTCTTATCAGTTAAGCCGTTACCACGTGCTATGAAGACTAGCACAGACTCTGGCAACGTAGACGAGGCAATGGAGGAGGAAGACGAGATTAATGCCCAAGAGGCGATATCGAAGGAGAAAGATGATACGCTATCAGCAAAACAGGACATCATTGATGCGGGCGTCAATGAGCCAATATCAGATGCAAGCACTAAAAGTGAGCAACTGTCAACGGAGGCAAGCGAAGCGGGCGGACAACCCGAGCAAAGTGAAAAAACTTCAACGTCTTCGTCATCTTACGAAACTGTGGGTGCTGGTTTTGGATATACAGATTTGGATTTGCATACATCCATGTCAGCAAATTTGAATTCAACAGAGGAACCAGACAAGAGCGTATTGAGTCCAGAGTTTTTGAGTGCCGATGACTTGCCAACACAACTTGTTGGCGAAGAGGCACAGCTAGTTGCTGCTCGAACTGAGGCCGCAAGAGCTTCTGACAACTCAGCGGTGGGAGTGAATGTTGCTGGTCGCCCTTCAGCTGTAATCGTAACCAATGCTTCAGTTGATGTGGCAAATTGGTTGCCTGGCGTGAAAATGGAAAGCGCGCAAATGCCGCAGTTGTTGGAACAGGGTTCGCTTGAAGCAAATGTCGAAGAGGCGGCTGTAGGTGGTGGCAGCTCGATTATGGATGCACTGCGGGAACCTAAATCCGCATGTGTTTCACCTGCCAGCTCGAATGGCGGCGTATATAGTGTAAGACCTTGTAGAAAGAGTTAGTTGTAGAGGAGATTTTTAATAAATAAACAAATACTTACAGAGCGAATTGCTGGAACAGTTCGGTTTGAATTTACATCGCATCGAGAAGGATGTGCAACGTTGCGATCGCAACTACTGGTATTTCGCAAATGAGAATTTGGATAAGCTCAGAAATGTCATATCCACGTAAGAATGGAAATTTCAGAGGATTAAGGGATTGTTTAAGAAAACGAAATGTATATATATATTTTTTTCCTTACATCTCAGCTATGTATGGGAGCATTTGGACGTTGGTTATATGCAGGGCATGTGTGATTTGGTGGCGCCGTTGTTGGTTATATTCGACGATGAATCTCTGTGTTATAGTTGCTTCTGTAAGTTGATGGAACGCATGATCGAGAATTTTCCGAATGGCGGGGCCATGGATATGCATTTTGCGAATATGCGGTTAGTGCATACAATTAAAGTAATAAATATGTACATTTCAAACTGTTGCAACAAATTTACTTCAATTAGTTACTAAGTAGTCGGGCGAAGTTTTTTGTAATTTTCAATATTTTTCTCTTTTGCTGTTTTTTTTAGTTCCCTCATCCAAATACTGGATTCAGAGATGTATGATTTGATGGATTCGAATGGCGACTACACACACTTCTATTTCTGCTATCGCTGGTTTTTGCTTGATTTCAAGCGTGAATTGGTATACGATGATGTCTTTGCTACATGGGAAGTGATTTGGGCGGCGAAACATGTGGCTTCCAGTCATTTTGTACTCTTCCTCGCTTTGGCGCTGCTAGAAACATATCGCGACATAATACTTTCAAACAGCATGGATTTTACGGATGTCATAAAGTTTTTCAATGGTAAGCTGATTTTTTTTCAGCATTTTGTAACATACATACTTAACACATCTTCTAATATAATTTACAGAAATGGCTGAGCGACATAATGCGCAAGCGGTGTTGCAACTGGCTCGCAGTTTCGTGCTGCAATTGCAAATGATAATCGAAAATAAATAAATATTTTTTTTGTAGTTGCTTAGAGTTGAACATTTATGTATGTACATATGTAACTGGAATTGAAAGTAGCGGGTAAAAAGTTTTCAATACTTGTTTTCGAAATGCATACCTACATAGCAAACATAGCGCCAAAGACAGATGCTTCCAAAGAAACAGATAATAAAAATTGAATAATTCGAGGGAGTTTATTAAAAGTTGCAAAGAATATGAAGAATAGAGGAAAGCAGAATTACTAAAAAAAAAACATTAAAAAGAAAGAAAATTAGTTTTAACACAAATATGCATATGTGCATAAAGTTTCCATAAAATAAAAAAAAAATATAAATAAAAAAAGAATTTAAAAGTAAAGAATTAAATAAGCACACCTAAAATATTAAAGAACGAAAATACATAACAGTCAATAAAAGAAAGTAAAGCAAAAATAAAATGAATGGAAATAAAACAAAAGAAAAATTTATAATGAAATTAAACAATAAACAAAGTCAAAGTTCGGGTAACCTCGAGTTTTGTAAGCCCGGTGCATGTATTCTTAACCCTGGTATAGTTTTTATGCGGATTTGTATTGAGGGTTTAGTTTATTTGATTAAAAACTGATATTACATCAATAGACGTTTTTTTGAACACGTTTAGACCGATTTGTTAAAATGACAATTGTTAAAAAAAAACATAGTAACCTGCATAAAATGCACCCCAGAGAACTTCACGAGTTTATCAATCTGTACTAATTATATAAAGAGAAGTCCATTTTTTTGTAAGAGGTAATCACGCGAACGGCTGGTCCAATTTTCATGACATTTTGTATAACAAATTTTCTTTTTTCCGGAAGGTGGACCAGGGACCGATCTATTCGATAAAATCTTATTTATGGTCCCATTTGCCGGAAATTCGGTATACGTATTACAGATATAGATAAGTTTTGTTTTTTAACACATACCCCTTCAATTTATTGGTTTTGTCTTAAAAACTATCCGAACAAAATCTTATGCAATTCGAACCAGGGCCACCCGTGCCGACTTGCAGTCGCAGTTATTAGAATAATCTTTGTGCACTTTGCGTGTTTTGTTAACTTACTCGTTTTACTTCTATATAAGGCGGGATTACTGTACTCCCTACATTATTAGGGCATATATTTAGTAAATCTGCGTTTTTAATTTCGTTACCAGGTAGTCAGGATTTTTTCAAAAGGAACATCAATTTTAATATATTTCCAAAAGTTTACACAAAATATAGATATATGGGTATCAATTAAAAAAAAAAAATTAAAACAAGATTAATTATAACTTCTGTTTCCAATTATCTTTTGGAATATGCCTAAAATTTCCTTTAAAAATTTGATCCTTTAAGATTTTTAATTTTGAATGCACTTTCAACAATCTTTGTTTAAATTAAATTCTATAAATATATAAAAAGATATTGAAGAATAAAAGAATATCTGCCTTTAATTAATTTTTTCGATGTCCTTGGGACAGGGACCGAACATAACAGTTATTGATGAAAACTGTTGTGGAAAGATTCAATATGAAGGAAATGTTCTACAACTAAGTGATACATAACAATCGTTTTTTTCTCCGAGACTCAAATAAATTTTTATTTGCAATTTTTATGCGAAATAAAAAAAAAACTATTTTCGAATCCAAAATAACAATTATTATTTGATAACAGTTATTGAAGACTTTTATTTATAAATATAAATCAGTCACCAACTTTTATTTTTTAATCACTTGTATTAAAGTCATTAACATTTCTTGCAGTGTTGGGAAACAAAAGTTTACCACGGCTTATACAAATGACTTTTACAAATATGATTTAAAGAATTACGGTCGATAATTGTTATCTGAGACATATAATTTAAAAACAAAAAAAATAACTGTTATTTGAAATTATTTAGATAAAAGTAAAAAATAATTGTTATTTTTGATTCATAAAAAAAGTCAGAAATAAATGGTCTTTAAGGAATAATTAAATAAAAGTCAAAAAATTAATGTCAAAGAGCGATTTCTTTAATAAAATTTATGACTGTTATGGTCCCTGCCTTGGGAGAAATCGTGCCCTGCAATTAGAAATTTAAAGATGAAGATTTACTAGAAATGCGTTAAAGTATGTGAAACTTATTGAATTTTTCGCATTTTCAAAGTTTTCATGGACGATTAATTCACGTTATTAACTCAAACTTCAACTGAAAGTCGGCACGGGATATCGTTATCCTACGGCCATAAAACTTCATATATATGCTATTTTGGCTAAAAAGCATAAATAAAGACGGTATGCATATCAAAATTTGCAAAAAAATTGTTTTCCATATATTCTTGGGACAGAATAGAATTGAATGATTACTTTACAGTTCGAAAGGTGTTTTAAGGCGCCGCAAAGCATGCGGGTATTGGCTATGTGTTATACTTATTATCTATACTAATTATGTAAAGAGATGCCCCTTATTTTTATAAAAGGTGATCTCGCGAAAGGCTGTAGCGATTTTATTTGAAGTTCTGGTCACCTACTGCAGATTTACCAAGGATGGTTATAGGCTGGTAGTAATTTCGTTATATCATACAAAGTATTTGCGGTAAAGTCCTGGAACTTGATATGGAGATATTTGAAATCAATGCAATACTCATGGGTGCCATTGGAAAAGGAGGCGTGGTGGCTTTCAAACATCTGAAACTTTTATCTAGCTGGAAATATGTACATATATAAATCGCTGATATGTGTGTTTGTGAGTGAACTCCTCCTAAACGATCGAAACGATTTTAATGCAATTTTTTATGGACCCACTGTCCCTGTATTGTTTCGATCCACAGCTTAAGACGCCAGCTGGCGCGTAAAAATGAGTTACTCCTAAAAATCGTATTTATGATTTGGCTTATATTCGAGAGATATATTGGTAAAGGTAGGGGCAATGCTGTTGCAAAAAAGGATCGGAAAGTGGCACTGGAGTAAATCTTTTGCAGAATCTTTTTTTCGAAAACTTAAAGTGCCGCTTCATTAGATGTTTTCAAGAGTTATTCTACGTTGGATTTCAAGGCTGTCATAATTATTGGTGGTGGACTCTTATGCGCTATCTCTGATGACAGTAGATACTTCGTTTTGTCCTCGTTGACCACCAGACCAATTCACTTTGCTTCTCTATCTAATCTCGAGAGGGCAGAACAAATGTAGCCCCTATTTTTTTGCCGATTATGTCGATGTCGTTGGCATACGCAAGCAATTGTATTTGTCATTTACACAGCCGAATCGGTCTCGCGGGGACGCCAAATTCAGGCGTCGCGGCGCAACTTCTTTTCGTGCTGCCGAAAGCGCCTTTGAATTCGACAAGTGGTGATTGCCGATCCTTTTATCGGGGAGTCTTTTCAATGATTTGGTATACTATGAATACCTGATGTACGGTGAATTTGTCAGGTCTAAATCCACACTGATCTGGCCCAATCAGCTCAGTGACGGCGGGCTTCAGTCTTTCACACAATATGCGCGAAAGGACTTTGTAAGGGGTCACCTTTCTTGTGCATTGAGCAGAGCGTACTTAAGTTCCACTCGTTCGGTATGTGTGGCTGGCAGGCCGTCAGCTCCAGCAGCTTTAATGTTTTACCGTCGCGCAACCGCTATTCGTCATAGTCAGGCAGTTGAACATTGACTCCGTCAGTATCAACTACGGACTCGGGGTCGTCTTCTCCTCAGCTTTCAGTGCCGTTCCCATTTAGAAGGGTGGAATAGTGGTCCCCCAATAATTCAATAATAATATTTAGATTGACATTGTTGTTCTTACAGGAGATGGCGCTGGTCTTAAAACCTTCCGTCAATAGTCGGGCCCGCAAATTTTTAAAACAACATTAAAATCTTGCAGTAGAGCCAAAATAAAAACCATATACTATATTCTAAAGTTTGCAAGACTAGATTGCTAAATACAAGAAGGGTTCGTACGGTCTTACACCAAGTTATGGCTACGAGAGTGAGCAAGTACAAACGATAATATATTCGGCTATGCAGAAGGCCTCATACATACATACATGATCATCAAAAATCAGTCAACATTCACCATTCACTGTATTTTTATTTATTATAAATCAATAGGGAAACCAATTTTTTAATAAGTTATTATATCTGAATAATGAGCGCTATATACTATATAAACCATCGATATATATGATTTTCACGGGTGGCCTTGCATGATCGATAAGTAAACACATCCCGCAGTTCGCGAAGAAACTACCTTGGATTTGCTTCCTTCTTCTCGCTAAAAATTGCAGACCAGGAAATGTTAGAAAGTGATAAAAAGTGCTTTTACTAAAGTATATGCCCTGGGGGTCACCAATTGCTAGATAATAATTAATCGTCGATATGATATCTTCCGAATTAGCGACTTATATCAATCTGGATACCTTATTGCACAACTACGCTCGGGCACAATGAAACAATATAGAAATAAAATAATATAAAATACATAAACTAAGAGATGAAAAAACTAAACTAAAATAAAAAAATAAAAATAAAAATAAAATAAAATAAAATAAAATAAAAGAAAATAAAATAAAATAAAATAAAATAAAAGAAAATAAAATAAAATAAAATAAAATAAAAGAAAATAAAATAAAATAAAATAAAATAAAAGAAAATAAAATAAAATAAAATAAAATAAAAGAAAATAAAATAAAATAAAATAAAATAAAAGAAAATAAAATAAAATAAAATAAAATAAAAGAAAATAAAATAAAATAAAATAAAATAAAATAAATAAAATAAAATAAACTAAAATAAAAAAAAAATAAAATAAAATAAAACAAAATAAAATAAAATAAAATAAAATAAAATAAAGTAAAATAAAATAAAATAAAATAAAATAAAATAAAATAAAATAAAATAAAATAAAATAAAATAAAGTACAATAAATAAAAAAAATAAAAGTCTAACTAAAGAATACTTTGCATTTTTAAGTATTACTTTTAATAAATAAAAAATTAACGAAGTATACCGATATCAATTAGAAAGTCAACCAAAAACAATCAAAATAGAATTTAACGTATTTACATAAAGAGATAATTATGTTTATGTGAGAGCACGTAGAAATTCTACCTAAAAGAATAAAATTAAAGCTAAACAAAGTGCACCTTGAAAGGTATTTTATTTATAGGCGCAGAACTTTGTAAATATGTATATTCAACTATATACAAACATGCATCGTAAATAACTCACGGTCGGTTTTAATTAATTTCAAAATCTTAAAAAAGACAACCAAACAGAAATGCCCTTTTTACTAACAGAAATTTTAGGAAAATATTTAGC